GGTGAAAGGAGTAAAAGTCTTCTCTCCATGGCACTGACTCCCCTTGTGGTCACTCAGTCACTTCCACACACTGAAACCCCAGGGGCACATTGGAGGCAGGTGAGTCAAGAGCTTCCAGGGAGAAGGTAACGTTGATGTCCCAGGACGGTCCCTCTAGCCTGGTGTCCGCACCTCAGTCCCATCTTGAGAGGAAGGGAGGATCCATCAGGAGCTCTGCCTCCTGTTCCGGGGGCCTCCACACCTGCGGGGCCCACACAGGTGTCAGCTCAGAGACTCGGCCACTTTGGCTCTAACTCCAGGCAGAGCCGGACAGGGCGGCCCCACCTGGACCTCAGGGCCAATCCCTGACCTTCCCCGGGAGAGACAGGCCTGCTCACCTGGTGTAGTAGAGCCAGGTGAGGACGTAGGTGAGGAGGAAGCCAGCCCCCATGAGGGCCCCTCTGATCAGGGTGAGGACCAGGGGCCAGGAGCCCTGCTGCTCCTCGGTCACACATCTGCAGGAGTGCGGGCTGCCTGGGGATGACGGGAGACGGGTGACGTGTTGTCAGGACTCAGTCTACCCACAGCCCAACACCTGACCAGGCGGCCGCCCCCACACCTGTCCTGAAACTCACTCTGCACAGAGAGGCTGAAGGAGATGTGCTGGGAGCCCAGTGGGTGCTGAGCCCGGCAGGTGAACTCCCCTCCGTCTCCAGCCCCCACGTGGGGCAGCTCCAGGACTCCGGGTGCTGAGGGCTGGGGCGGGCTCAGGGCTCTCCCCTCCTGGGACCAGCTCAGCGTGGCAGGGGGGTTGCTGTCAGCCTCGCAGACCAGGAGCAGGGATGTGTGGTTGCTCAGGGTCATCTGGGCTGGGAGAGGAACACAGAAGGTGGCTCAAGAGCCAGGGACCCTGCTGGTCAGGCCGGGCTCCCAGGAAGAAGGGGCTGAGCTGAGGGTGGACAGGGGAGGAGTGGGCGGGCCCCTCAGGTGGAGATGCTTCAGGAATGGAGGCCGCCCGGCAGGGGAGAGGAGATGCAGGGACACCGGCAATTCCGGTGGCAGAAGGCCCAGGAGCACCAAGCGCTTGATGATGGTGGAGAGGAGGCGGAGTCAGGGAGCCTGGTGCCTAGGGCCTCGCTGAGGGCATCGGGCTGTGCCCTGGGCGCCCAGAGAGCAGCTGGGAGCTGTGCACAGGGAGGCAGAGGGTCAGGGCCGAGACTAGAAGGATCCTGCTGGGCCGTGTGGGTTCGAAACCACAGAGACGAGACTGGAGGCGGGAGGCTGAGGAGCAGGCTGAGGCCAAGGGGCCCCGGGTCCAGGACAAGGCTGGATGGGCTCCGGGGCCCCGGGAAATCAGAAGAGGGAAGTGATGTGAGGAGTGAAGTTTCCTAGAGTTGCTACAGGGTGCAACTGGTGAGAAAGGGAGTCATCTAGAGTGAGTCAGAGCACACCGGGGATAAGTGAGGTTGAGTGGTACCAGCAAGAGGTGCCTACTGAGTCCTGGACGGTGTCACTCAGTGGTTAGAGCGTTGGCCTGAGCAACAAAGGGTTGCAGGTTCAATTCCCAGTCAAGGGGACGCACCTGAGTTGCAGGTTCCATCCCCAGGTGGGGTGTGTAGAGGAGGCAACCAATTGATGTGTCTCTTTCACATCAATGTTTCTCTCTGTGTGTCCCTCTCTCTCACATCAATGTTTCTCTCTCACACACACACATCAATGTTTACCTCTTTCTCATCAATGTCTCTCTCTCACACACACATCAATGTTTCTCTCTCCCTCTCTCTCTTTCTCTCTCTCTCTCTCTCACACACACACATCAATGTTTCTCTCTCTCTCTCTCCTTCTCCCCCTCCCTTCCACTCTCTCTAAAAATTAATGGAAAAAATATCCCATGGTGATAATTTTTTAAAAAAAGAAAAAGAGGCGCCTACTTATGCAGATCTGTGCCGGGACTAAAGCTGTGGGCGGCATCAGGACTGGTCAGGATGGGACGGGGACCCCAGGGGGAGACCTGGGGAGGTGAGCATGCCCGGGAGAGTGGGGAATGGGAACATGGCAGCCTCCCGGAGACAATGACCGGATCAGAGATGAACGGGGACAGGCATCCGAGGAGGAAGGGCAGACGGGAATTCTAGAAAGAGGAGCAGGACAGAGCAGAGCCTAGGGTTATCACTGTCGTTGAGACAGAAAGAGATGC